GCATTAAACAATAATTGCACGCACAATTTTTCATAAATTTTTGTGGTTAGTGGATATTGTGTTCTAGATTAATTAACAATTTAGAATTCTTTATATTTATGTAAATTGAACACAAAGGCCTGTGGTTCTAAAACTGTTTAATTTTAATCCCTCTCACTACTCCAGGCACAGTGGTCATTTTACAGCTGTGACACAGCTGGAAACTGTCAAAGAAACAAATTCTCTTTTGCATAATTAAGCTACATGGACTGCGTTTAGTCCCTACTAATTTAGCATTTTGTTATGCATTACGTTTGTGAAAAATTAAACTAGAAAAGAGAAAATTGGAATGTGTGCCAGCAAAAAAGTTTATTTTTTTAATTTCTGTTGCAAGAAATTCATAATTGAAACAAGCACAATTTAAATTTTCACCGAAACTTATTGAATCAGTTTATCTGTAGAAAATGATAGAGAATATATCACTTAAAAAAGACTGTACTTACCTTTTGATTGAGATAGGATGCAAAGTTTAAGTTTAAAGAATGATAATAATGTTCTGCTATACCTGTAGGTTACAATTCCATACTAACAATTTTTTAAAATGCAAATGAGGGATACTTTCATTTGAAGGGAGTGGCTATTTTGGGAAATTTCTGTGATTTTTAGATGATTTCGAGTCTTAATAATTGTTTACATAACCAACTTAGAACAAGCTCGAAGTATCCCATTTACGCAGACTGGTTTTTAACCCCATCTATTGCTATTTAAAGACACCTTACTGTTGTTTTTTGTAGCTGTGTAGCTGTTACACATTCAGATGCACCACCAATAATTTGTATTGCTTTCAAACAAGGGATGTTATTACAGAAAATATATGATTTTAAGTGCAAAATAGAGACTGCCCCAGGTAAATTAAACACTTTGGAGAAATGCTTTTCACCTTGTTTGCCTATAGATCATTATATATTTTACACTGCTGATTTAATTTGTGATACTGGAAATATCTGTATAAAACTTTATGAAATAATATCAGGAAGTATTACTTTACTGAGAGGGTAGTGGATGTATGGAATAGCCTTCCAGCTGAAATGGTAGAGGTTAACACAGTAAAGGAGTTTAAGCATGCGTGGGATAGGCATAAGGCTATCCTAACTATAAGATAAGACTAGGGACTAATTAAAGTATTTAGAAAATTGGGCAGACTAGATGGGCCGAATGGTTCTTATCTGCCGTCACATTCTATGTTTCTATAAGGACGGTTTAAGGAAAGTCTGTTGGCTTCACAAGGAGGAATATTCCGGGGGGCCAAATCATTGTACACTGTCTATTATCAGGAAAAAAAACTTTTAGATGACTGTAACGAATATTTCATAAAATTGGCTGCATATGTGGAAAGATTAGCACCATTACAAGACCTAGAAGAGGGTATGATCTCAGCCAAGTCACTTTATATTCTCAGGATCAAACCTCACAGGATTAAAATGAACTCAAAAAAATCTGGAGTTTTTTTCAATGTGTGACTTCTTTTGGAACAATGCAGTATGTTACACTGTTAGTAACCGTGATATTTCAGCTTGTCTGAGCCTTAATCGTGATGCATGGTTTAGGATCGAACGAGCCAAAATGTCGCACTGCTGAGGTTACTTACCCTCTAATAAATACAGTTATCACTTGTATACTGGAGTGCTGCCCAATGGATTGTTGGTATCTGGTATTACTTGGAGCACCGCCAGAGATAGTGGCAGGATCGTGGAAGGTGGAACCAGAGTGCAGGGTGTTTTTGTTTCTTGTTACCATTTCTATTGAACCCCCTACCCCTTGTCATCATACCCTAGCGTCCAATACTTTTAAATCAGCTTAAAACATACGTCCTCAGGATAACCTAGTATTTTCCAGTGTAATATCACTCTAATTATAATTGCCCTCCTCAGTTCTCTCGCTTCCATAGTCCAGCTCACTTTCCTTTCCTTTGACTTTTTAGTTCTTTAACACCTCCTCAGTTCTCTTACTTCTATATCCGAGCTCACTTTCCTTTTCTTTGACTGCTTAGTTCTTTAACACTAGACTTTTACTAGATGTTTTTGACACAGGTATCTTATCCATCAATCCCTTCTTCCCTTTGACATTTATTTATTCTTCTTGTGTTTCCTTGTTTCCTCAAAGAATGTAAGCTAATTTGAGCAGGGCCTTCCTCAAATCTCGTGTCTGTTATATTATGTGTTTCTATTACTTGTAATTAAATATCTCCATTCTATATGTCTGACTCACTGTGGATTATGTTGGCGGTATATACATTATAATAATAACCATTGACCTAGGCTTGTTTTTCATTTTGTGCCCCTGTCACAGTTAAGTTGATAGAGAAAAATATGTAGTTACAGACTTGGTGGAACAAAACAAAGTACAGGTAAGGATAAGGCAGAGACAAGGTCAGGCAAGCAAAAAGTCAGTTCAGGCAGTGCAGGATCATAAATGTAGAACAAGCCAGAAATCAGATATCAGATAAGCAGACAGGAGCAGGGAACAACTTGAGTCAGGAGCACATAATACTGAGCATAGGTAGAAGGTCTAATCCGGATTATATAGGAGAGGGGGTGGAGCACATCTCAGAGGCCTATTTACCCTTTAAGACGATTAGGTTCTGGTGCATGCACACCTAGAACATCCAGTCGCAGTACGGATTCAGATGATGCGCCTGAGAAGCTGCGGTCTCTGTTGGTGAAGCATGTTCCTGTGCAGCGTGGAGAGGAGTGGAGGAGGTAAGTGTCGATTTGAGCAGGGGGTTCGTGGCCAGACAGGTCTGGGGGCTGACAGCCCTTATATATCCCAGTTGACCTCAATTTGTTCCTATTTATTCCATTTATTTATTTTATTTTACTTTTTGTTAAACCCAACCACTCTAAAGACCAGTATGTCATGCTCTATCATTTTCTCCTTGTTTGCTGTTTTACCTCGGTTTTCATGTTAGGGTCATATGAGTTTTGGCATAGTGTCTCTAATCATCTAGTCTGACTCTAAGTAGGCAGACTACTTAAAAACACATAATTTGTTAGATAAAAATACTTTGTGTTCAACCAATGTTTGAGCCTTATCATCGCATTAATCATATCAATTCATGAACATTTACCATTAACATCACAAATATTATGGATTACTCATCTTATTTGGCTAGAAATTATAATGTCCTTGAGATTCTGCAGTGGACTATATTACTATATAGAGAAATGCAAGTGCCTTTTTTTATATTGCTTCATTTATATACATGTTGTCCAGTTTCATTGGGCTATTTAGGAACTGCCCATAGAGAAATTAAAAGTTTAGTAGTGATTTTATATCTGATTTTTATTTGTCATTTGATTCTTTTTACTTCTATTCTTAACACAAATGTCAATATTTTTATACAGGTATAAATCTACATGCAGTTTCTTTTTACAGGGGTTTGTCCACTTTGTTTTATTATTTTTTATATGCACAGCAAGGGGCTATTTATTAGGTGCTGAATAACCTATTGGACAAACAGCAGTGATTGGAATATTTAGAAATATTTTTTGTACAGTGCTCTAATTTTGTCTTCAATGAATTAATTCAGCCAGTTGTACATTGTCAGATTTAATATCCTTACATCCCTCTCTCTCTCTCTCTTTCTCTCACACACATATGTGCTCTCTCTCGTATATTGAATTTCAGAATGTCAAATGCATTCACCAATCCAAATTATTGCTGGGGAGAGATGTGTAAATTAAAACAAACACCTAAAAATGCAGATACACAAAACCAATCAGAATATTTCATCAAATCCCTGTTTTCAAATGCAAATAATGCTGTAGGCCTGCGTGGTGTGAGATAAGTAACTAACAATGTGTTAATCTGTCTTTCATGCACCAGCAAGCTATTGGAACATAATTGTGACAACATAACACGTTTAATTGGGCTTGTTGACCAACATGTAGAGTGTGAATTTTAAGTATGTAATTACTAATTCTTAGTGCACTCAATTATTAAAAATGCATCTTGGAAAAAAGAACTGTAGCTATAATGATAAACAAAAACAATTCAGTATGTATATAATTATTATTTTAATCTATCGGATTAGATTATTTAGCAGAGATATTTGGGGCTGCAAATCTTTAGAATAGGGAAATCCAACCCTTGTGCTATAGATGCATTGTCTATAGATTCGAAAATCCTTTGCCAAAGATACTTTTTTTTTAAATGTGAAGCATCATTTTGCTTCTTTTCATTTTTTATTAGCCAGATATGTTTTATTTATGTTCACATAACTGACTCTTTTTTGACATTTTTTAAAACAAAAGATGATAATTACGTTTGATAAGGAATTCTAAGCAGATATTTAGCATGGTCAGACGTGAGAACAGAAAAGTATTTTTGAGAGTGCATGGCATTGGCATAGCTGGTCTTATATTGTACTTGTGAGTACAGGGTTAAATATAACGCATGAGACCTAATTGCTAAGCGGAGAACTATGCACATAAAAAACTTAGGGTAGACATTTCCTGCTATGTCAGATAGCATACATACAAATTGCTTAGGTAAGATATGGTAGGCTGCAAGGCTTAGGTTATATGCTAGGTGAACAGATTTTATAATAAAGACCACTGCGGTCGAGCTAACTTCAGTACAGAGACTAATGTCTGTGGAAGACCATGCTGACGTGGTTAGATGAGAGCCGCATCAGGGATCAAGAAATGGCTGCTGGTGATGTTTGTGATGTCTGTGTCCGGGGTTGTAAGTGGTGTCCCAGCCGCTGCCTGTCGCTTGTTATATGTGCCTCTGTGGTGACATGAGGTGTCTTGAGGTCGTCGCTGGAGACTTAAAGTCCGAGTAGGGTTGGAAGAGCTGAGTTAATGTGGCAAGGCAGAACTACAGTTCTTGGTGGGTATTACTAGGTTCCCGTTGCTCATTAATATTGTTAGAACGTCCCCTTCACGATTGTGAGGCATGTCGGCAGGTTTCTTGGCTGTCTAAGGTTGCCTGGCTTTCACCCCGCTGAGCTCTCCCTCTTAAGGGTTAACAGTCTGCTCATCGCTGGGCTGCTTTGTGGGTTGTGCAGGTTGGTGAGCTGCACGGCTTCTCTCCTCTGGGGCTTCACGAGGCAGGGACTGTTGGTGTTGGGCTCCACGCTGCCACAGATCTGAGGAGTACTGTGCCTCTCCTTCTCCATTCCTCCTGAGCTCTCTGCAGAATAACGGGACCGGCAGGCGTATCAGGGTGTCTACGTGTGGCAGCCGCAAAGGGAGACAGGGCAGCGGCCGTCCACCCCGCTCCCCTCTCGAGTAGGCCACAGTCCCCAAAGCTTCATGCAGCCCCCCAGGGTCCCAAAGCTCCCAATCTCGGGGTCTGCCACCTTCTCCACCACCGTGTACGATTTTCTTGGGCTCTTTGCAGGTGTCAGATCTAAAGGATTCGCCTAAGAGGCCAGATTTATCCGGAGCCTCTCCTGCATGCGACCGGTCAGCATGGCGGTCCGGCCCCGCCCCCAACATTGATTTTATTTTTTAATGCAAAAAATTATTAAATAGAATAAAAGAAGCATAAATGTTGATTTAATAAATGGAGTCATGCGTTGGAAGGTTTTGAAAATTATATCAGTACAGCCGGTTTCACCCATAGTTGTGTACAGACGGTTTCATTAGTATGTGGACCCTAGTTATTTGTTTCTGTATTTATTTATTTATTTGTTGACAGCCATTGCAAGCCTAGTGACAATAGATATATTGTTTTATATTCAAAGAAACTTTAAAAAAAACATTGAATATTTGAATATTTTTAAATAACTAAAATATAAACATAAACATGTCTGCAGGTACAAGACGGGAGAGTGAGTGTCAGGGCCACTCTAAATATAATAAACATGGCACAACATGTATGTTTAATTGAAAATTTATAAAAAAAATTCTATATAAAAAAAAAAAAACAAGGCACAAAATATCATATTTTCTCTAATGATAATGTAATATATGAATAGGCTGTTAATTTGTATGATTTTTAGCTTTAAAGAGTGTATCTAATCACACAACCCACTTCAGTTGTATATAGTGGTTTTGGCATGATCATGTAGTGATACTAAATACTCTGCTGTTTAGGAGCCATGACATCATTTATCTGGGTATCAATCACACAGACTTCCTATACAATTCTACAAAAGAGAGTAAGCTCTGCAACTTAAAAGTGGGATTTTAGGCAGTTGGGAAGGGATTAAAAACATCTAGCAAATCTATTTTTCAAATGCTTTAAAATTACACACTTTGTAACCTAGACATTGCTTTGAACCAATTAATTCCTTAACTGATAACATCATATATACATTCTTTAAAATTCATTCACATTGCAAAATAAAATGTAATCCGAAATGCCTCACTCAATCTAATTTATACTCCAGAAATGATTCCAGCAAATAGAGTAATGCATTTGTCTGCCAGGAATGCATTCCATTCATCTGACATCTGAAAATGTGATGAAAATGACAGATCCCCTTCCTTACAAATGCTGAAGGAAGTTTCAGTGGGTCATACTATTCCTTACATTCAAGGAGGGGGAGTAGTAAATGATCTCCCATTTTATTGTTAGAATTATATTAGCTTTCCAGAGATTGCTAGAGATTGATCAACCATTTGTAAATAGTTTTATTAACTATTTAATTTAATTAGAATTACTGTAATCATTGTACTAGAATACAGGCATTCTTTTTACATTCTGTTGCAATGTTTGGTAAGCTACACTGTTAGTAATGCTAGCCTAATTAGGCTCCTTACAAATACCAACTGGCAGACTATTTGACCATTTTTATTTCTCTATTTTGTCACAACTACTGTATATCAAAAAAATTGTATTGCTTTTATTCTAACATTTATGACCAAGTGTGAAATATTGCAAGATAAGGAAAACTAGATAAATATGTTTAAAAAGCTTTTGCTCAACTAAAATTTTATATAAAGCATGAATGAATAAATGAAAAATAAATTATGTACATAATTTAATTGTTTAGGTTTGTTTGAAAAGCATTCTATACACAAATTGATGTTTAATTATATATTTACATGCTGCCTATGCACACCATGTTTCAAATATATGTTATTCTAAAATGTTTTAGTCAGATAATCCAAAATGACATAAAAGGTGAAGAATTTGGGATGCACACCTCAAAAAGAAACCCTGTGCACCCCCATTGTCTCTTAATTGTTCTTTCCTTATTTCAACACCTCTTTTGCAGAAGACTTCTTTTTAAAGCTGCACTGTCACTTTGACACTTTGTCACTGCAAGTTTTCTTTTTAAATTAAACTTTTTTTTAAACTCCTTTTTTGTTTGCTTTTCATTTTTTTTATTCGCCATAGCTTTTGAGCTATTCTAAAGAAAAAGTAGGCAATTAATGGAGCTTAAAGAGACACCAGATCCATATGAAGCACTTCAGCTTGCTGAATTGCTTTATATGTGAAGAATGTGTCCTCTTTTTTTCATTTTACAAAAAGTGCAGATTTTAATAGAAATCAACACTTTTATAAATATACCTTGTTACACACTCCTGGTTGTAAATCAGACAGCTGGTCATGTTACTTCCTGATTGTTTAGCTCAATTGAGCTAAGCTCAAGAGGCGACAATTGCACAAAGCAACTGCTTTGCAAATACTTTTCATTCCGCTGCATTGGGAAGTCTGTGATTGGATATCCACATAAAGTCTGGGCTGTGGAAGAAGTGAAGGCTTGCAAAGGCTGCAGACAAGAAATCTGCAGTTTTTGCAAGCTGTTTTTAGTTTTACCTCCAAAGAAAAAGCATAATGAAATGCATGCATGTTTTCATGATGTATATCTACTAAACACTGATTTTTTAGATTTTTTTTAAAATGTATCTAGTTGTGGCGAAACCGACCTCGCCACGTGTCCTTGGAGGGGGCTGCTTGCCCGCCTCTTGCCTTTGGACTATGGACCAGACTTTATGTGAATGTGTTAACCCAGATAGCTATGCCATGGAGCCCATTCGTGTAGTTAAAGACTTCGGCTCCATGGCAATTGAACTGTGTGAATAGGATCTGAGCGCTATTCGGTAGTTTTGTGCACTGAAATGTCTGTGTGTTATGTGTAAAAGGTGACTTTATGTATTTTAAAGTGTTTTATGTCTTTTTGCAACCATGTGCTCAGTGGAGTCTGCCTCTATCCCTGGATAATTGGATTACTTTTCCCCATTGTCTACAGGAAAGAGGGCTCTGTAAAACCTGTTTGAGCCAGATATCCATGTGCCAGCCAGGGCCCAAAAGATACTTTTACTAACTTTTGAACCCCTGGTCGGATTCATGCCATTTTTTAATATGTTGTTCCCCTGAATGGATTGATTGTGAATATGTAATTTTATGTGAATGTGATGTATGGTTTTAAAGTTATGAAAGTTGGGTAGAAAGTATGTTTTAACTGTATGTGTAATTGAGTTTCCTCTCAGGATAAGGGGAGGGAATATGTGGGATGTAACTGATATGTGATTGGTTGTTTTATACCTCCCTGTGGGCTGTCCTGTATGTGAAAGGCTGTAATAAAAACCAGGCTGGGTGTGCCAGCACAGGAGTTCCTGTTTAACCCTCAAAGTGAAGTGTTGTCTCATTATTGGGGGAAGGATTTATTGTATGCTGTTCCAGTGTGACTGCTAGGAGGGTAAACCTATTCGTATGGTTTCCTATTCAACTGTCTACAGCATTCATATGCTTGGGAGAATTTATTTGTTTCTCCGGTTCGGTGATTGTGGTGTCTGCCAGAGTGCTTGGAGTCCTCAGGAAGCGCTAGGAGCATCCTTCAACGGAGGTACCCAGTCGGGGTACCAGGCGATCCGTTACACTAGTCTTTATTATTTGGGCAGTGGAGTGTCCATATAAGCAAATTTCCATGTCCGCTGCTAAGCTGATTCACCCACAATCCATTGTTTAAAAGAATCTCACAGAAGAGCAAACTGCAGACATCACAAACAGAGCAGAACAAAATGATGCAGTGCAACGAAGAAAAGATAATAAATATAAATAAAGGCAAGTGGCTGGGGCTGAGGGTGAGTATAAACAGTAAGGGGACACTATAGTCACCAGAACCACTTCAGCTAAATGTAGCTGTCTGGTGTCTATAGACTGTCCCTGCAAGCTGTTTAATGTAAACACTGCCTATGGGAAAGCATTGGATTGGCTGAGATCACCAAGTTTGACAATCTCAACCACAAAGACAGATCAAGGAGAGGGACAGCCACGATGAGACTGGCACGGCATGGGGAAAAAGGTGAGTAAAATCACCTTTCAAAGAGAGGCATGTTTGAGTTCCTGACACTATAGTGTTCCTTTAAGATACATAGGACCTAAGGAAAGGAAATGTGTATGAAAAAAGCATTTAGCTTTTATAATTGTTGTGCTACTGTGGTTATATGTCTGTAACTTATATAACCATAAATAACACGTGATTAATCTTAGTGTTTGTATTATGGTCTCTATATCTTCAGTGTTTAAGCTTCCATTTTCATCTTATCTCTATATTTTTGGAAAACATATCAAATTGCTTCAGACAAATTCAAAAATTCCTTACTACAGCTGCCCATTTTTTATTAATTGGCAGAGCAGCTTGGCTGCTTCTCTCTCCTATTCAATAAAAATGCAATTAGGGTCCCATTTTTCAAATAATATTACCCAGAGAGGCTTTTCAGCAGCAGCCAAATACAAAAATCATTTAGAGCTTACATCTACAGAAAATGGTGCATTAGGCCTGTTTTTTTCCAATTAGTGTTAATTTACATTTCACTAATATATTCATTTATATTATAATTTCCTATAGAGGCCAGTGTAGTTCTGCAATTAGTGGCTAATTAAAATAGTATAGTTACAGTGACCTAAGGAGGTCACAGGTGCGTAGTTAGAGGGTGTCTGATCCAGCAGTTTTTCCTGGATTCATATCACTTATCAGTAGCAATGGGCACAAGAAGAAATATGCTTTATTTCAGTATGAAGAATACAAATGCTGCAGGAAGTAATTTAATCCCTAAGAAATCCTGTTGCATATAAATGCTACATACTTTATATGTTGCAAATCTATTCATATGTTGTCCTTAAACATGAAAAAGTGATCTCTGTCTAGTGAAATATGGGGAATCTGGCAATCCTAATGATGTATATTTAGAATTTAGCTAAACTCCCTGAAAGCCTTTGGTTTAACATTTTGGGTGGTTGTGGATGCCAAATCCAGCAGTAGATGTTAAAAAGAACTTGTTTGTACTTGCATCATTTGGCATTTCGTACTGAATCCAGAATTCTCATTTGATTGGTGGTTTCACTGTGGGTTTTGGTGCTTTAATTGGTATCACGTAGAGCTTAATCCGACCATCGGTTTGATTATTGAGTCTTTTTGTCACCTTGCATGGTGTCAAATCTCCCAACAGGTGTTTTAGTAATAAGATAAATCAAACGAACTGCTTATGGGAGGCTAACCCTTGTATTAGAAGTGTATTAGAAGCAATTGGAGATTGGGCCT